GGTGAGCTCATCTGGGGGGTTTAAGGTATCACATTTAAGATGCTGACCTCACAAGTTTAAAAGGACAGTGAGCCCAGAGGCAGCAGGTGAGTGACGCAGAGAGGAACGTGAGAAGAGGAGGTCAGGAAGGGCAAGCAGACATCTACAACTGTGTCTACAGTATAGCTTTGCTCTACTTGAACTAACCGCACTCTCAAAGATAGTAATCTTTGGTGCTGCTAAGTTGGGTGTGGGGGAATGGGTCTTCGTCTCTCATCTTCAACTTTAGTTACCAGAGGTGGCTAGTACCTCCATCATGAAAGACATGTGGCTTCTTTGTGGAGTAGGGAGCTTTGGTAATGCTGGAAACATCCATACTGTTGTTTCAGACTTTACTGATAAAAGTTGCCTGTGACATTGGTCAAACATTTCTGGACTTTTCCTCTGGAATTTCTGCTTCAGTATTGTTAGGTTGATCCCAGGAATCAATTTTTTTTCACCATCAGGGAAATTTGGGAAACTGCTGTACATTAGTGTTTGTGGAATCTAACCCCTGTGATTGCAATAGTTCTTGCCAATGTCAGAGAGGCCACTGTGGTCTAAGATTGGAAAATGATGCATACCCATATACTCTGCATTGAAGGCTCTGAGACTAGACAAAGAACCCACTGATGCCCAAGCAAACATGTGGCTAGGCTTCCCAAGACTGGAACAACCTTGAAATCTTATTTGCTTTAGGGTCATGATCAAGGACGGGCAGAACTTGACAGTCTCTCTTCAACAAATGGGCCAGCATAGCTCCTGGCAAATACCCTGTTCCATATGCCATAAAACCACATGGTTATTTGGTCTCCAAGGAGCACGACTTGCACAAACACTATTAGTGAGCCAAAAGTAATAATGGAGGGAAAGAGTTCTTTTACGCCTGTATTTTAACAACAAGAAAGACGATACAGATCCTTGCAATACTTACTTAATCTTGTTTCTTGTCTTATACCTTCCCTAAACTCTGCAGCTACACTGGGACCACCTCAGTCCCCAACACACACAGCACACGCTCACAAAACACATGCATGCATGTATACACACACACACACACACACAAAGAACATGCACACATGTGCACGCCCTTGCTGTGTTCTGAAGATTGCACTTGGCTTTCTCCCCTCCCTTTTCACTTGGTGTTTTATTATGGAGATTGACTCAGTTTCTCCCACCCTCTATGTCAGATTCAGTCATCCTGCTGATGGTGGCTGAGGGGTAGAAATGGAGGCTGTACCCACAGGATTCTCTCTACAAGGCGAGGGGAAAAGATGAGCCTGAGAACACTCCTCAATCCATTTATCCTATTGCATGAGTATTAATACATGCAGGTGAGAAATCTGCCTGCTTAAAGACAAAACTTTCTGATACCTTGGACAAAATAAAATTACAACTGGTCTTCCTTCCATTAGACTGTGAGCTCCACAGCAGGTGGCCCTGTGCCCTGTGATCTGCACCTCACCAGCACCTAATCCATGCCTCATACTTAGCACAAAATCTCCCAGAAGGAATCATTTATTATGTAGTTGCTGTGTACAGGTAAGTAATTTATATGTATTAATTGAATTTTGCTTCAAATCCATATCATTAGGGACTATAAGTTCTAACATAATACTAACAGCACTCTTAAATAGTTACATAATTCTTACCAAACACTGTTCTGAATTAACAAATATTACTTCATTTGAGCCTCACAGAAGTGCCATGAGGCAGATCCCATAATTATCCCTGGTTTACATGTGGGACAGGCACAGAGAGGCTCCATTGCTTGGCACCTTTGCAGTCTGTAAGTGATGGAAGCTTGTGGGGATCCAGTCCAGCTCATGGTCCCTGGCCTCAGCTAATGTTCACCTGTCTCTCATGGTATCGTAGGCCAGAAAACAATCCTTGGATCTAGACAAGTTGAGTTGACATTTGAATCTGCATTTCTAGCTGCATAAGCTGAGGCCACTTACTTAACTCATTTAAGCCTGGGTTTCCTCAACTTGGCCAGATGTGGTGGCTCACCCTTGTAATCCCAGGACTTTGAGAGGCTGAGGCAAGAACAACGCTTGAGGTCAGGAATTCAAGACCAGCCTGGCCAACATAGTGAAGCCCTGTCTCTACTAAAATACAAAACTTAGCTGGGCATGGTGGAACGTGCCAGAAGTCTCAGCTACTCAGGAGTCTGAGGCACGAGAACTGCTTGAGCCGAGACTGTGACACTGCACTCCAGCCTGGGTGACAGGGTGAGACTCTGTCTCAAAAAAGAAACAAAAAAACCACCAAACCTTAGTTTCCTCAATGGAACAAGAAGTTAACAGTGATTCTAAACTCAAAAATTGCTGTGATGACTAAGTTAATACATCTTTCTAGAACAATCCCTGGCATGAATTAAATCTTCATGAATATAGCTATTATTATTAATATTAGCACCATTTTGCAGATGAGAAAACAGAACCAGAGAGGTTAGTTCACTTGCCCAAGTGAACTAACCAAGTTTCCCAAGGTCACACAACTCATCAGCGGTAGATGTAAAGTGGAAATCCAGGTTGGCCTGGTCTTTCCTCCTGTGGATGAGAGGCAGTCAACACACCTTGTCACTACATTTTTCTTGAGCTCCAGACTGTGAAAGTACAGTAAATTTTTTTCATAGTTCATTTCTTCTAAGCAACTACCACTCCTGGGTAGATCCAGCTCCTAAGGACACTGGACGATCTAGGAAGTGTATTTCCAAATCTGCAAATCATCAACAGAATTAAATCTAAATGTCGTATTACATCCTGTCTGATATTTGGTCTTCCCTAAACAGACATAAAACTAAAATCTTTTTGGATTGCTTTGCCATTTTCCAAAGCATTTTCCAGACTCTTTCTTCTACTCTGCCGTCAGAGTCCTGCATTCGCCCCTCTCCCTCAAGGGCAGCTTGGCATGGGCTATGGTTTAACACATATGGTCTTCTGTCTACTTTTGCAGGACAGGGTTCCTCAGGCACCCTCTGCAACATATGAAGCTCCAGAGGGCTGAAACTCAAATGCGGGATGTCAAGGCTCTGAGGGGCACATGCAGCTCATGAAGTAGGTAGCTGATGCGAGCAAAGGGATGTCCACCCTGCCTCAGAAACTCCAGACCACACAGCTAAGAACTAGAGGAAGATAAGCTGAGCCCAAATGAACGGAGCCCTTTATTGAATTTCATAGAGTAAATTAATCTAATCTTACCACCCCTGAAAGTAAGATGGATTAAATTCTCAATTGCTTCGAATTAATCTCTAAATTGCTTCGAGAACACATTTCACAAATAACAAATTCATGGTGCATTACATAGAAAGTAAGAGATGTTAAAAAAATCAAATTGACATTTTTGTATATCTTTGATTATTTTGTTGATGTCTGTTTTTATCTGCTGCTATAACAGAATACCTGAGACTGGGTAATTTATTAAGAAAATAAATTCACTTAGCTCATGGTTATGGAGGCTGAGAAGTCCAAGATCAAGGGGCCTCATCTGATGAGGGCCTTCTTCTTGTGCCATCCCATGGCAGATGGGCAAGGAGAGGGTGAGAAAGGACCGAACTCATCCTTTGATCAGGAGCCCACTCGCACAATAGCTAACCCACTCCCATGATAATGACATTAATTTATTCACAAGGGCAGAGCCCTCATGACCTAATCACCTCTTAATGGTCTCACCTCTCAGCACTGTTACATTAGGAATTAAGTTTCCAACACATAAATTTTAAGGAACACATTCAAACTATAGCAATGTGAGAAAGAGTAGCCATAATTTCCAACAAAGTTATCTGACATTATTTTGGTCAAAGTTTTCTGGCTTAGAGAACTGTTTTTTTCATTGCGTAAAATTTCAGTGACACTCCATTTGCATAAAATGACTCATAAATATCATCTGTTTATAAATTAAAATGAAAAATACTGTCGTTACTAGATCAGAGTATTTGATTTTGATAAGACATGTAATGTATACATTGTCTAGAGGCTAGGAATATATCTAGATGATTTCTGCACGCAGAAGTCAGGGTCATAATAAAGAAGACCACCTTGGCAAGCTCCACAAGCATGGTTTCTATTAGTATTTCCTATGTCTGTGGTGTAGGAGGAAAATACTTCTATGAATGCAAATCAAATTGCATTGACCTAAAATATTGCTTGCTTATTAAAAAGTTCAAATTAAAACAAAACAAATGGAATTTACAGACAATTTTCTCAGTCATAGATGGATTCTGCCTTATTTTTATTAGTTATGTGTGTTTTAACAAAGCATTTAAAATTCCTAGCATTATTAAGATGTCTCTTTAGATGCTTGTGACATTACCTGGGAAAATTCAGCTACATGAACAAGAAGCTCTAATGTTTTTTGATTCAAGAATCCAAAAACAATGTTTTTCCTAAAAACAACCAAAAATGGCATGTTTTAAGAATAAATAAGCAAAAATATAAGGGCATCGATGAGATACTGCATGTTAAACTACCCATGGAAGATCTTTCTATGATGCTGAGAATTAGTTTCCGATATATCTTATGTTGTTTTAAACACATTTTCTTGTATCTAAAATAAACTTATTTAAGACATAAATGTCCTTCTTAAACTTATGTACTTCAGGTGTTTTGAGTCAAACATTGCATTATCAAATATTATTTCTTTGATAGTTCAATTTATTTTTAAAATTGCCTTTCTTGTCACAGAGAGAAAAGACATTCTCCTTACATTCCAACAATTGTTCTGTGAAAACTCAGTGTTGGTTGGAGACAGGACAAGTGTTTGATAGCTCTTCCTGGCTTGCACCCTGTCTGCTGGCACCTAGGGCTGGTGGAGCTATAACTGCAGACAGAAGACTGCCTCCTTCTTGTGGGCTGACTTTTGCTGTCTGGGAGAATTTAGCTCTGCTCTCCATCTTCTGCCTCACGTGGAGTCCTACATGTATCCTAGCAAACCAAGTGAGAACATCAAACACACCCCCACAGTTTGACCCTTTCTGGTAATCTTAGAAACCCAAGCACAGAGTTCAGAGAAATATGAGCACATGTGCAAAGGGAAGATGAGTACAAAAAAATGAGTGGGGTTCCTCTTCGCCATCCCTAAAACCGTGGCAGTATTTAGCAGCAACCCTGATGAGGCTGGTCTCAGAACCGTGCAAACATCTGCCCTGCCTGGCCTCTCAGTGAGAAAGCTTCTACCTCTTAACAGGTATTTCCACAAACTTGCTGTCCACCTCCCTGTTACAGGTTAGTAAACTGACCAAGCCTTTTATCTGAAAACTGAGGAGATTCCTCCTTAGTTAAATAATAAAGAAAATTCAAGATACCAAACACATGCCGAGGAATGAAATAGCTGCATCAGAATAACAGATTCGGAGGCAACATTAGATTCTTTCTGGGCCTGCAGACAGTTTCAACTGAGTGTTCATTTTCCCCGAGACTCCATTTTCCATCCCGAGTAAAATGTCTAAAGGTAGAAGACAGACAAAGATGACTTCCTGAGGTCCCTTCCAGCTGCTAGATCTTGGAGCCTAGAGTTTAAATAATTTTAAACTTAAAGTGGAACTGCTTATTTCTAAAACATTAAATGTATGTTATGGCAGAAGAGTTAATAGTCCTTGAATTTATTACCTCCTTCCCACTTTCAAGAAATATCTGACATTCTCTTCCGGGGCAGGGCTAATAACCTCATTCTCTCAGGATTCACAGTGCCAGGCTTAAAGTAGGGACAGCATATTCTGAACTGACTTGAAATCACATCTTTGGATTACTTAATAGTTAAGTGCCACACAAACCTTAGGTACCCAAAGAGGGCTGAGGATACATCTTCCAAACAAAGACTATTTTAAAATGATGTCGCTCTGTGCATCCTGATGCAGACAGATCTCTAAGAGATCTTGAAGAACAGAAAGTGTGGAACAACACTTTCTTCATATGATTTGGATTATGTTGTTTAAAAGAGAAGCAACCCCAAACTATTTGTTTCTTTCGGTCTGTATCTCTGGATGCAGATGTATTAGAAAAGCAGCAACAACAGGAACGCTATCCAACGCACTGGCGGCAGTGGCAGCCTCTGCGAGAGGATGGACCTGGAACTTTATCTGACCTTTGTATTTTTAACCACCAAAATTTATTAATTCAGTATTTGTGTTCCTAAAAGTAAGCAAAATGGAAAAAGAAGGTATAACAAATTTCTAATCACTAAGATAATTCAGGCAAAATAAGCAGATAGGTCAATGTTTCATAGTTTATGAAAGCAAGGTAGAAATGCATAAAATCCGAGTACCGTGGAAAGGATAACGTTGGGGCATTTTTCAAACGCATCTTGTTGTACGAATGTACTCTGAAGAGTGGTATAAGTTAGCAGAAGTCACCTTAACATGCAGCAAATGCCAAAGCAGAGGCATTTGGAGTCTCTTATTTAAAAACAAATCTTAAAGGCACACGTTTAAACACAGAACTTAATATAGATGTGTATTTACATTGAAATATAATTTTCATTTTTGAAATATATTTCTTTTTTGGAATTTCATAAACAGGTGAAAGAGATTTAGACTATAAAAGGAAAACTCAATTTAAGTTTAAAAAAAATTGATGTTAATGGTTTTTGTGGGGATTTGAAAATTATCTAAAGATTTTGATGAAAACCTCTCCACATGAATATTTAACAAAACATCTACAAAGGGAAATTTTATCTTGGTTAAAAACGGAATTTTTCCACCCATCCCATCAATATCTTTTTTTCTTTATTATTTTGTTTAATTAGTATAATATATTTTTTTGTAAAACATTTCATGGCCACTGCAGAAAATCAGAAAATACAAAAAGCAAAAAGGAAAAAGGAAAATATTCATAATTTAACTAGAAATATCTATCTTGGATTATGTCTTTGCTAACCATCTTATGCATATATGTATACATATTAAAATTATATTTTTCAAAAATAATTTTAACTTAATATATTGGAACATTTTTCATGCTGTTGGCTATTAAATATGTTTAAACTTGGAGATGAGAAGGCATCTTGTTCATCAAAGTTCTCTAGTTGAAAATTCACTCAATAAAAATCATTTGTAATCTCAAATCGCTCACTATATTTGATCCTCCCAAAATCTGGTGAGGGAGGAGGTGCAGGCACAATTGCAGGGAATGGAGCCAGAACTGATAACATTCCTGGTGAGACAGCAAAATCAGAGATTGCCCATGAACTCCCCAAGTTCATACTCAGCTGATGAGTAAAGGAAACAGGATCTGACCCCAGCCCTCTTAATGATAAATCCCAAATCCCACCTGCTGGACTATCACACTCCCGTGGCTTCCTCCCTTGTACCATTCAGGATTCTGTTCAAATGGAACCTCCTCAAACCCCCTTTCCCTTATCACCTTGTTTCTTGCTGTCTCTGTGAGGACCACAACACCAAGTTGGTTTCCACCTGTAGCCCAGCACCAAGCACAGCTTCCAGTATATAGTAAATGCTCAACAAGAGTTTGCTGATTGAACACCACACCATGGTGCCACTGGCTCTCCACACAACCACAGTTTGGAGAGCTGTCAAAAGAGATGACAAACACAGGCTCTGACAAGCTTGCATATCTGTTTAGGTTAATCTGAGTGAACAGACTGAATCAATGTACTGGTTAGATTAAATTAAATTCCTTATTTTATCTCTGGGGAGAATCAATAAAACAAAAGAAGATTATGAGAAGCAGATAAAATCACCATTATTGAAGTAAAAACAAACCCCAAAATAACAGCAGTTGATTTTTTTAAAAAACACTTTGTTCAGTGAAGAAAAAAATTAATAGTTTTATACTATCTGAAAAACAAGATGATAGGATAACCAGATTCTTGTCACTTCCTAATCAGTTATTTCTATGTATGTGTATGATAGAAAATATTGGAGTCTATCTTTGCAGTTTATTATTAATTACTGTTCTTCTAAGAATGGACCAATAGGAAGGCCCCCTAGTGGCCAGTTATCGACGACATCTCTTTTCTGCTGGCACATTGAAAAATTTTAACTAAAAACAGTCCTGTACACGGTTGCATTTCTGTTTAAGCACTATTTGTCAAAAGCACTTTTTAAAAAGAAACCAGCTTTTCTCACAAATGTCTAATAGTTATACAGTTGAAACATTAATCTAAGAATTATTTGTCTTATGTTTACAAGCTTAAGTCGTTTCTATATAAAGGTAAAGGAGAACGAAACCGTATTTCTCTGTCTATCTTTTGACTGCTTGATCTCATTTAAACTTTTTCTTTTTTCTAACTATTTTCTCCAGTAATAGTCACCCAAATAAATGTGTAGTCACTCTATATTACTACACATTTCATACTGAAATGTCTTTATTAATAACTTTTCTCCAACTTTAGTCTCATTAGAATAGTAGTAGTTTTAAGTTGATACATTTGAAAATAATTTATTTGAATATAATTTATTTACGAGAATAATTGACTTCATTTTCAAAAATATATAAATATAATTTGAATACTGTTGGGGCCAATGTGATGTCACCAGGAATTATAATACTGAAAGAAGTTAATTCTCAAATCTTAAAAACAAAGCAACAAAAACTCAACTTATGGTTTTTGAAAATATAGGATATTTTAATTTTGAAAAATAATATCAAACTGTATACATTTTAAATATATTTAATTAATATTTATTCTAAAACCGATTTTCTTAAAAATGAAATGTAATATCTGAAGTCTTTCCTGTAATGATAATTCTTGTTTTCTGCATTAAGTGGAAACATTTTAATGATTCTTTCAAAGGACGCAGTAAAAACAAAACATGCAACCTTCAACCGATTCTACCTTTGTATAAAGTGACTCTTCTTTCGCGATTCACATATTATCTGCAGACGGACACAATGCCATGGCATTTCAGTAAATGTAAACGCAAATGAAAGACAGTGATGGAACATGAGCGCCTGATGGGTTCTGTTATTCCAGTACTCTTCTTCCAGTTTATTTTCACTAAGCTTTGTTATCTCAGTTTGGATATTGTGCTACTTCCAATAAATGAGTGGTTTTGATCATTTTCAAAAATGAAAACACATAAGCCAGGTATGCTCATATTTTTCTGAATCTATACAGAACTATGCAAAAGAAAAGAGAACACATCTTTCTCTTTCCAAAACACAGCTCTGTTTCATTATTAAACTTTTATGCATCATAATTTCTAGAGACCTCTTCTTGTCATTAGTGGAAGGTGATTCTGGCCATGTGAATTATTGTTAGTGAGATTCTTCAGGTACACAAAAAATAGAAAAAGACTTCCCATCTAGGTATTTTCATCGCTTTCCTAGTTTTGGTTGATATACTTAACATTGGGGCTATTTAGAGATCACTTGTGACTCAATTAAGGCAAGAATGAAAAACACTTTTTTGAAAGTTCCTTGAACTCAGTTAGATGGGGTCCCTACCTCCCCTTCTCTGCTTGCACTTTTGTAGATTGCATGTTACTAGGAAATATTACTGCTTTACTTTAGTAACTTTATTTTGGGCTTCAGTTGTGGAGGAAGTGGAAAATTTTAAACAGTTTAACCAAATGCATTAAAGAGATCACCTCTGTGCTTCCCTTATGTGGGGTAAAAGGTCAGCTCTCGGGCATTTCCAATCTCCTACCTTCCCCTGGCCAGCCAGCAGTCCCCGTGCCATGCTGTATGTATGGACACAGGCTTTTGAGGTCTTTTTGTTAGACTATATAATAGCCCAGCGTTAGAAGTGTAAAATGGAAACCTCTGATCATATGCTTATAACGGGCAATTTCAGTGTCAGACCAGTGGACCGAATAAACATAGAAAGGATTTATTATGAAGTTCTGTAGTGATGCTGGCACCAGCAGCAAACTGCTGGGCAATTTTCTATCGTCAAAACCCAGGAACAAGCACAAACACTGAACCACTGTGTTCTTGGTGACAATAAGGAGAGTCGCTTTATGATTGGCTGGCATGGCCACAAAAGACACACGCTGGCATGTTTCAGGACATAAATGATAGATCTGGGAGTTTATAATTATTTAATCAAACCCAGACTGCAGGACCTGGAGAGACATTGTTGTCCTCCCAAGAGTGGAAAAAGGACAGAACTCAAACACTGACAGGCTCGAGGGGGACCTGAAGAGGAATAGGGGTGTGAAGGTGTGTGCTTTCCCTGGCCAGCCAGAGACCAGTGCAGGCCCAGTGATGGGTCACTTCCCTTGGGCTGCATCTCCCTCGCAGCCAGGGCTGGTAGGAGGTGAGTTACCCATCATCCTCTTGATGTGCTGATGGAAGTGGAATTAATTATGTTTCCTTTCATGGAAGGAAACTTACGTCCTGCTCTGAACAGGAAACCACTAATTTGATCCAACTCTTTCTCCAACATACACACACACACACACACACACACACACACACACACACACACACTTACAAAGGACTCCTGCCAGCTGCTTGCATTGTGTGTACACAGTTTTAAATCCTTGAAGACTAAAAAGCTCCACCCCATTCAGCCCTCATTCCTGCATCTGGAAAGTAAGATGATGGACCTGCTGTGGTCATGAAACATCCCTGGGCACTGCGTGTTTAGAGATTAGGGTCTGGGATGCCACTGGACTTTGCTCTTCAAATCAGCCTAAAATTCCATCCCAGCCTGATGGAAAAAGAAAGTTGGGGATGGGGATGGGATTGAGGCTTTCACAAGCAGTGAGTATGCATTTTGGTGGAAAGAGAACAAATTACTAAATTAAATTAGCATTACATTTCCTTCCTAGTCCCTAAGAGATTCAGAAATTTAAATAAAGTGCTCTCTTGAATTCGGTTGTTACATGTACACTTTAAGTTTCTGTTTTAATGGCCCAAGAAATGGTGCATGAACTGATGATGTCATGAGGGCATGGACTTTTTTTTTAAGGATCTTAAATTAAAGAAAACTGGCATTAGAGAAAATGAATTCAATGTGATCTTGATAGAACTAATCAAAGTGTCAATTTTTTTATTTCTCTTTCTGTACAGAAACGCTTTAAAGAGTGGATACTACCAGCCAAGCAAACAGGAAATCTTCCCTACCTCATCCCCTTCGCAATCCTATGTGTAATCTTCACGTTTGGGACACTATAAAACATTTACAATTATCCAAATCGAAATTTTTTTCCACCAAATATGATTGTTTTAAGTAGCTATGAAAATTTTACGAGTGGCACATTAATACATTTTCATTGTAAATAAAATGGAGAAGCCAGAGCCCCCTCATTGCCCCCACTTCATGGTCCTACTCCCTAACCCCAGAGGTAACCGTCACAATAGATTGGGTGTGTAGATTTCTTTCCCCCATATGTTCGTTCTTTGAAAGGAACAAATTTCAGAAACAAAGTATGGAAAATATTTAACCTTCTGCCACGATTATTAGGTTTTGATGTTTAAGAGGGGAAAATGCCCAAACACATAAAAGTGGAAAATCCCCAAACAATTTGGTAAGATATGCATTGTAGATTTCTTCATTCTGAGAAGTCCTCCAAAGGTTTAACAGACATACTTTCAAACATACGTAAAGACATCCCCACTTTCAGAAAATAAACTAAAAATGAGGTCAATTTTTTAAAAATTATAAAATCTTTTATCAGTTTCCAAAGGGCGGAAAAGAATCGGAAAAAAATTAAACCATATTTCAACTACTCATGTCTTATGTTCAACCAGTTTCGTCGTTTTTTGGTCCTGCAGTTCCTTGGCATAATTCTCAAACAGCTTCATGAGTTTGGGGATTTTAAACACAGTCTCTTGCCATGATATAAATCCATATTTTAAAAATGGTTGTTTGTTTTTAGTTGGTATTTTAAGAGAATAATAATCTTCTTTTATTCCTTCTTTATATACCTTCAGTAATGCTAAAATAGTTTATATAGAATCTATAATTAAACAAAGATGTGGACTTATTTTATAGGTTGCAGTCAACACTCTAATTTTGTTTTATAAATGAATTAAGAGGAATTTAAGCTAGCAGAAGAGGTTGAGATGATGGTAATGAACAGTCTGCTTAAGTATAAAACGATCAAGCAAACACAGTAACAAAATTATCCAGAGCATCTTGAATCTTCCCTTTCATGCCCCATGAAGATCCCTGGGAATTTCCGTGCTCATGTTGCAAGCACCTCCCCTGACTAATAACTTATTGTTTACAGTTGCTAGCCTGTGCTGAATTTCTGCAAGGGCATTAATTATCAAGAATGCCATTTTCTATTGCCTGTCTGAGTAAGCTCAGAAACAGGACGACATTTTAAATACACCTTTAGGCTATACTCTGTCTTAGCATGATGCTAAATTCAGAGAACAAAGAACAAACCAAACTAAAAAACCACCAAGCTATTTCCCTGGCACCACATAGTCAACTAACCCAGCCAAAGTATTGAATGCTCACATTTTATTTGTTGTGCTTTTTTTAAAAAAAAAAAAAAATGAGATCCAGAGACGCACAGAGAGAGAGAGAGAGAGAGAGAGAGAGAGAACAAGAGAGAGAGAATTCTGTACCAAGAAGACACATGGTAATCCTACTTGAGAGGATACTGTAAGTGAAATGAAATATTCAGTCCTTGACTTTGAAGAACACAGAAGACTAGATAAATTGCATAAGATGAAAACATAATTCTGACTGAGGTCATTCTATGTTCTCTCTCTCTCTCTCTCTCTCTCTCTCTCTCTCTCTCTCTTTCTCTCGCTGTGTGTGTGTGTGTGTGTGCCTGTGTGATGCTGTCTGTTCATCTTTTACAGGGAAATGGAACTGAGTGATATAGTTCAGTGAACTTCAACTTAGGCATTTTTATTCTTTTAAAGAAAGGTTTCTCTACATATTAATAGTCTTCATTCAATGCATTCACTCAGTAAGCATTTCTTCAATGATTGTAATGTTCCAGCAATATACTGGTAATCAATAGGACAGGTACAGTTTGAAGGAGAGCATGGTATTGCAGGGCAGTTTGGAAATGAGAGGGCAGTATAGAGATGGAGAGGGCTCACTCATCGAGTTTGGGAGGCAGAAGGTAACACAGGGGGATACAGTAAGTGCAGGAACTCTTACAGATGAACAGGAGTTATCAAGGGAAGGGACGGGAGAAGCCAAGCTGGGGCAGTTGTAGAGCAAGTCCAATACTCACATCAATGGGAAATAATGTTTGAGCAGCAGTATTGTTTTGTTTGCCTGCACAGCATAAGCTGTACTTCTTTGTCCTTTTCTGGAAATCATGAATGTGCATGTCATATGCAGCATGTGTTTGTGTAGTGGCTGGAAGCTCTCCGTGGACCAGGCTCTCTCCAAGGTAAATCACCACTATAACTCCAGCATAGACAACCACATCTTGTGCTGAATGGGTGTTAGTAAGTATAAATGTCAAAGTTTATCCACTGAGTACAGTCAAAACGTGATTTCCTTCAGTTTGAATTCATTGTTGCTAAGTTTACTGAAGTAAAGTGAAAGAATTCTCTAGAATGTTCTATTCTGGTACCACAGGAATAGAATTGAAACCCCAACTTGGAGGGAACTGTCTGTTTTGGCCTGCTCATGTCATGTTGCCTAAAAGATTTTGGCTTCAGGAAGAATTTCAGAAGCCACAAGTCAGTGAGTGTATCCAGTCCTGTTGGTGGCCCTGCCTTGGGTGGGAGAACACACCTGTGGAAGTATCAGTGGGTTCCTTAATATCACTGGGCTTTTCCTCAAATGGAGAAGGACTTGTTGGAAAAGATAAGAAATGTTTTTGTAAAATTCTCCTAAATGTAGCTCCTTTCTTTATTAGAAATATAGTAGTTTCATTTCAAGGAGAAAATTCTGTTGCCTATTCTTTAGTGTTGAAGAGGTGAGGTTGCATTTATGGGTTCTAGATCAATTATTATATAGTTAAATGTGAACCTTGATCATATTATTTTAACCTTAACCAACCAGTGCAGCTAATTGGCTGGACTAGATTTTGCACTGAGGTTTTTTTTTGAGTTAAAGGAGAACCAGGTAAATCATCCCAATAGAAGAACATCTCAGATTTCTGCCCAAATTCTGGCCTACCTCGTTGCTGGAGGCTTCTAAAAGAATAGACAAAACTTTCAACTTTTACAGCATGAACCTTCCTTGAGGCCTTTCAGTAAGACTTTTGTGCAATACCAGCCATAAAGGAGAGGGGGAAGGAAATTAGAAAATAAGGGCTAAGAAACTAGATACAGGATGGCAAATAAATATCAACTCTGACAGATTAATGCTTGCTGCTAGGAGCACTGGGTTCGAAGGATCAGAAAGCTGCATCTGAGATCACTGGAAAGAGCACCATGACTGATGATCATTGTCTGCCTTAGCTACAGAGTGAGATGTAGGCCCAGATGCAATGACTTGCCCTTACCAACCGTTGATAACATCCCCCATCTCATGCGTCCTATGAGTCTACATAGGCAAAATTTTTGTTTAGAAATAACACTTTTTCAAAGATATAGGAATATAAAAGATTACAGATAATAGAAAATTAGTGACTCAGACCAAGCCGTTTCTTTCTTTAAGACTGCAGAGTCTATTGGGGAGGCCAATGATGCACGTAACCAAATACGAGGTCACAAAGTAACTAATTCCAAGTAGGTCTGGATGTGGTTTATCCCTGCCAAAACTCATGTTGAAATTTAATTGCCAATGTAGCCCTGTTGGGAGGTGGTACCTGTAAGAGGTATTTAGGTTTTAAGATGGATTTATTGAGAGGCTGGGTTGGTTTTCCTAGAACAGGTTCATTCTCATGAGAGACAGAGCTTCTCCATCTTTTTTTTTTTTTTTTTTTTTTTTCTTTCTGTCATGAGCTGAAGCAGCCTGAGGCCCTCACCAGATGGGCTGCCAGATCTTGGACTTCCCAGCCTCCAGAACCATGAACTTCATAGGCCTCTTTTCTTTTTTTTTTTTTTTTTGAGACGGAGTTTTGCTCTTGTTACCCAGGCTGGAGTGCAATGGCGCGATCTCGGCTCACCGCAGCCTCCGCCTCCTGGGTTCAGGCAATTCTTCTGCCTCAGCCTCCTGAGTAGCTGGGATTACAGGCACGCGCCACCATGCCCAGCTAATTTTTTGTATTTTTGATAGAGACGGGGTTTCACCATGTTGACCAGGATGGTCTCGATCTCTTGACCTCGTGATCCACCCGCCTCGGCCTCCCAAAGTGCTGGGATTACAGGTGTGAGCCACTGTACCCGGCCCTCATAGGCCTCTTTTCTTTAGAAATTACACAGTCTTACTTACTCTGTTAAGGTAACAGAAATGGACTAAGATGGCATGGGGAAAATGTTCTGGAAAGGAGGGAATCAGATCTTGGCTTTAAAGGTTGGATAGTGGTCCAAAAGGCAAAAGGGACAGAATTCCTTGCAGCAGGAACCCATACGACTAAAGGCCCTGAGACGAAGAAGGTTACAGTACATCTGGAGTCCTGGATTTGCTCAAGCAGCAGAAAATACTGAGTCTTGGAGGGAGTGGGGAGTAGAAGAGGGAGCTACAAACATAACTAGGACTTTAAGAACCACAAAGATTTGAATTTTCTTCTCTAGGTAATGGCGAGTCATGGAAATCTTTGAAGCAGAGGAGTGTCCTATTCAGAACTGTTGTATTAAATGATGATTGTGCAGCAGGGTAGAAGCTGAATTAGCAGGAGAAACACTGGAGACAAGGAAATTCAATTAAAAGTCTACTGCAAGAGGTAATAAGGGCTTGACCAAGGTCAGGGTCAGGGGCCATGCCTCTGTGGGAGGGGAAGCTGATGGGAAGCAGGGGTAGCAGTGGTAGCTGTCTCTTGTGTTTCAGGCCAGCAGGGTCTCTTTCTCTCAGTACCAGGCCCATGCTGTATTTCAGTAGGGATGGGAGGGCAACAGATCTTGCTCTGGGGGAATAGATCAGCAGGCTTCTGTTCTGGGAAAAACATGCCTACCTTTATTTTTTCCTAGCACCTTGCCACCAACATGACCCTGACCGACATTTTCCTTTTTAGTCATGGCTGTACTTTTCCATCTCAGTAAGATGCAAGCCCAGTTCCATGGGGATTCCAGGGAGTCTGGAAGGGTGAAGTCATCTCCCATCTTGGGATATAGCAGGCACATTTTGCTCTGTTTTCAATCCTAGTATCTGGAAGTTTGGGAGCTTCTTAAACCTCCCATCTGACTCCCCTTGGGCAAGATAGAAAGGTATACAAACAGACCATCCACAATGCCAGTGGGCCTCTGATGGTGAGGAAGACAGAGGTTTGATGTGGGGAGCGGGGGAATAAAACTCCATGCCCTGTCCGTACTGTGGCTGTCCTTAAACCACAGCTAGAACAAAGAAGCCCATGTTTATTAGGCTGTATTTGAGGAGGGAAGTAAATTGGCACTGCATTGTCTCAGACTAATAAAATATTAAATTGCTATAGGAATAATACCTTGTCATGAAAGGGATCTCGTTTCATGTTAATACTTGCATATTAAATTAGGCTAATGCTTATTAAATTAGGCTTTTACAATACTGTGCTAATCCGGAGAGTGAATGAACTTGGAAATGCATATTAGTATTTAGCTAAATTAATACAACCCACAGCCAAATGCTCCACCAACTATGAGCCTGCTGTTCCCAACATGGTTGTAATTTACTGCAAATGTCTCCTCCAAGTCAGTGTCCTCCTTAGGAATTTTTATTGTCACAGTCCCTCAGTGTCAGATATTCCTGCTGTTGACTTAAATCATGGACATTTTAACCTATATTCAGATTCAAAATTAAACACATTTTGTAGCATGCCCAGATGATTCTGATGTTGTAGAACGGAACGTCTTCATTCCTTTGAGACATCTGGTGCAGGCCACCAGTCCATGTGGGATCCCTTTCTTGCCCTGTCCAGATGTTCTGCCTTAAAGAGTGTTGCTGTGTCTGAAGCACACCAGCCTGATTCAGGAGGTTAGTATGTGAAGTCAAAAGGGCTCTTTTCACAGATCCGTTGTTCACTGCCCCGTTCCCAAAGAGCAGAGAAAGACTGTGAGGAGAATGGAGTGACTGAGCCTGTCTCCATGTCTCACTCACAGATGTGGATATCCATCCAGACTTTCTTTTCTAAACCCTCTGCAATCCATCCTGGGGTGGAGGTATTTATAGTACAAGGACATTATTCTGAAATCTGTCAGTCTTCATGTTAAGTGGATTCTCACATGTTCACGCCTTGCTTATTTTAAAGTAAATTTATGTGTGGTCATAAGAGCATTCTGGAGACAGGGAGATTACTCCTGGAGCCATTGCACTCACTCAGAAAGAATGGAAAGGCAGAGAGTTTGGCTTGGCAGTTCCTGAGATGGGAGAGTTCCTTGGGGGCATTAGCCAGCTGTCCTGGTAGATGAAGGGTCTGGGACTGGTTAGACTGGTCCTAGTAGCTGCAATCCTACATAGGATTCGCCTAGAACATCTGTACCTGAACTATGGACTGTGGACCAGCAGCATCAGCATCAACTAGGACTGGGTTAGAAATGCCCTCTCTGGTTTCATCCCAGACCCCGTGAATCAGAGTCTCCAAGCAGGAATCTGTATTTTAACAAGCTCTCCAAGGGGTTTTACGAATGTTAAACCATGAGAAGCATCAATCTAGGATGTGGAGTATGGCGTACCCTCAAACTACGGTTCAAACCCAACTTGCCCATCACCCTGATACAGTTGTTGCCAAGACAGACTGTTTCACTTCCAGCCTGTATGTTGGAACCACGTATGTAACCATGAATGAAGCCCAAGTTCACTTCCTTTCTCAGCTCCTCACAGTCTTTCCCAAGTTGCTGGGATACTTCAGAATTACTAGCTTAAAATATAGGGCTGAGAATGTGGTATGGAATTAAACATAAATATATTTCATAGTCAAAGACTCATGACACCCACAAATGTGCTGAAAAAGGTTTATATTCAACCAGCAATACTTTACATTTTGATAAACTGTTTGAAAAATGTTTCCAAAGCTTATTATAAGAGATCATGTCATTTTTCTCTGCTCACTCAGTGGAGTAAAGGGTAGAGCTGACATTACTCTAATTTGAGAGGAAAGGAACCTGAGGCCAAGTAGGATATGTTCTGAGAATAATAATTTTAATCTGGAAATCTTCCTATGCATTATCAGATTTCAGGCTGGGTGTGGTGGCTCACACCTATAATCCCAGCAGTTTGGGAGGCTGGGGAGGGAGGATCACTTGATGTCAGTATTTTGAGACCAGCCTGGCCAACATGATGAAACCCTGTCTCTACTAAAAGAAAAAATACAAAAATTAGCTGGGCATGGTGTCAGATGCCTGTAATCCAAGCTACTTGGGAGAGTGAGGGAAGAGAATTGCTTGAACTTGAAAGCAGAGGCTGTAGTGAGCCGAGATCACACCACTGCACTGCAGCCCTGAGCAACAAGAACAAAACTCTGTGTAAAAAAAAAAAAAAAAAAAAAAAAATTTCCAAACCTTTCTGGTGGAGTATGTTGCTAAGGTCCACCGTCAGGAAGAAGGTCTATCTATTCAATCAGATTAGTCTGTCCTCTGGCATTCCATCTATGGGAACGTTCAACCCCACATGAAGAGGGAGGTCCAGTTCCCACACAGGCAACAGGGACAGAAGGAGCACATTCTGCACTTTGTGGAGTTCCACCAGGCACCAGGACCATCTTTCAGTGGGCAGATGACCCAATACCCACTGGAAGCCCAATAGTGTTTTGATTTTAATGACTCCTAAGCTGAAGATGTCCTAGTTAAACAAAGCTGGGGAACCACTCAGCAGTCAGTTAATACTTAGACTATTTAGTCATTTGAAACAATGCAATTAAGGATGAATCATGGCTTAGTAACCTAAACAAAATCAAATTAACAAATGGGCAGCACTCCCTTTGGTCTGGGAGGATAATTCATAACCTCCCACCTCCAAGTTCCCTGAACCTTGTATAGATTTCAGGGCACTCTCACTCTGAAGTCCTTCCCATTTCAGCACAGACTCTGTTGTGGATCCTGGGTATACAGCTGATGACTAAAAGGAGAGGGCACTCTGTCCATGGAGGCTCCATGGGCACTGATATTATAGGAAAGTGGATATTTGTGCAGACATTGGGATTACACACACTGCAACCTAAGTCCCAGTTCTACCCTTTACTAGCAAAGTGACTTTGGATGAGTTATTTAATCAGTTTTCTGGTCCAAAATATTGAAATAAGAATAGTAACTTGTGTGTATGTATACATGGACATATATGTGTGTGTGTGTGTGTGTGTGTGCACTAGTGCATATATATATACATAACCACACACACATAGACTTATACATTATCCAGTAGTAATAATTATTAATTTGTTATGCTTTTGAATCAAGTCTGTAATACCATTACAGTAGCATAACTCATTACCAGATAGTTTCCTATATTAGCTGTAAAACTCCAATTTTCCTCTTGATATTAAACTATGATAATTAATATATTTGAGACTTTGAATATTTTAAAGGGATCATAGAAACCTGGAATGTACAAGAAGTTTACCCAGTTTGGGGGCTTTAAAAATAATTTTTATATTTTAATCTTTGTGGGTACATAGTTGGTATGTATTTTTATGGGGTACATGAGGTGTTTTGATACAGGCATGCCATGCACAATAATCGTATCATGTAAAATAGGGTATCAGTCCTCTCAAGCATTTATCTTTTGTGTTACTATCCAATTATATTCTTCTAGTTATTTAAAAATGTACAATTAAATTATTATTGACTGTAGTCACCCTCTTGTGCTATCAAATACTAGATCTTACTCATTCTTTCTGGGTGTTTTTGTACTCATTAACCATCTCCACCTCCCCACCACCCTCCCACTACCCTTCCCAGCCTCTGGTAATCATCATTCTACTCTCTGTCTCCATGAGTTCAATTGTGATGTTTAGAGGCCACAAATAAATGAGAACAAGAATATCTGTCTTTCTGTGCCTGGCTTATTTCACTTAGCATAATGAGCTCCAGTTCCATTCATGTTGTTGCAGATGACAAGATCTCATTCTTTTTTGTGGCTGAATAGTACACCATTGTGTGTAAGTACCACATTTTCTTTATCCATTCATCTGTTGATGGACATTTAGGCTGCTTCCAAATCTTGGCTATTGCTAACAGTGCCACAATAAACGTGGAAGTGCAGATAGCTCTTCGATGCACTGATTTCCTTTCTTTTGGGTATATACCCAGCAGTAGGATTGCTGAAGCATATGGCAGCTCTGCTTTTGCTTTTCTGAGGAACCTCCAAAGTGTTCTCTATAGTAGTTGTATTAATTTACATTCCCACCAACAGTGTATGAGGGTTCTCTTTTTTCCACATCCTCATCAGCATTTGTTATTACCTGTCTTGGATATAAGCCATTTTAACTGGAGTTTTGATTTGCATTTCTCTGATGATCAGTGATGTTGAGCATATTTTCATGTGCCTGTTGGCTATTTTTGTCTTCTTTTGAGAAATGTCTATTCAAATACTTTTTCTTTTTTAAACTGGATTATTAGATTTTTTTACTATAGAGTTGTTGAGTTTCTGATATATTCTGGTTATTAATATATTCTTGTATATTCTGGTTATTAATTCCTTGTCAGATGGGTAGTTTGCAAATATTTTCTCCCATTTTGTGGGTTGTCTTTTCACTTTGTTGATTGATTTCTTTGTTGTGCAGAAGCT